CCAGGCTCCACACGCTCAGCGCCCCCAGACTCAGCACCCCCAAGCTCCGCACCCCCAGGGACAGCACCACTCCCAGCAGGACCGGAGTCACCAGTGACCTCAACAGGCGCAGGCGCAGGGGGGTCTACCTGAGAGACACCTGAAGGAGCAGGACCTGGCGCGGGGAGGGGGTCTACCTGGGGAGGACCTGGGGCGAGAAAGAGCGGCGGGGGGGGGCAAGGAGCAGTGCGGTAGGGGAAGAGGTGGTAAAAGGGGACCGACTCGTCAAAGGTGACGTCCTGAGACGCAAAGACACGGCGCGAGGCGGGGTCGTAGAACTGCCAGCCAGGCGCGTCAGGGACAAAGCCAAGGAAGACGCAAGGAATGGCGCGAGAGGAGAGCATGTCCGCGGTGGTATCGCGGACAAAGGCACGAGCACCCCAGACCCGGAAACGCGACGCGTCGCCAACCTTCCCCGTCCACAGCAGTGTGGGCAAGGTCTCCGGCAAGGAGACACGGGGCCAAAGGTTGAGCTGATGCGCGGCGTACCGGACCGCAAACGGCCACAGAAAATGGGGGGCAGCCGCATGGATCATGGAGGTACGAGCGACCTCCATGACTAAGCCAATGCGGCGCTTAGCAACCCCATTCTGCTGCGGAGAGGCCGGAAGCGTGAAAGTCTGGCGGATGCCGTGCTCCGCACAGAAGGCTGCCAAGAGGTCTGAGGAGAACTCACCACCTCTGTCAGAGTGCAGACGCATGACAGGAAAGTCCGACTGGAACCGCTCGCGGAGCTGGAGACGAGTAGCGCGGATCCAGGGGATCAAAACATCAGGGACATCCCCCTTGCGCTGCAAGGGGAAGACCGTGGTGTAGCGCGTGTAGTCGTCGACAACCAGCAGGAAGTACCGCTCGTGGCCCTGTCCACGGACGCGGGCTGGGCCCCACACGTCCAGGTGGAGAGTCTGCAGTGGGGCCTCTGTGGGAGGGAACGAGGAGGAGTGAGGAGCGGCGCGCTGCCGCCCCTCGACGCAAGGAATGCAGGGCGGCGCAGGCGAGGGAGGGAGGGGAGGCAGAGACCTGGGAATACCAGAAACCAGGAAGCGGGAGTGCATGCTGCGCAGGCGAGGCAGGGAGGGGTGACCAAGGCGGTGGTGCCACAGGAGAGTGTCGTGCGACAGCCGGCGACACTCACACTGTGTAGCTACCTGAGCAGACGCGTGCAACTGGGAAGACAAAGGGGCGGAGCGTGACGCAGTGATGAGGGTGTACAGACTGGACCCTGGCGCACGAGCGAACGTGGCCAGGTGGCGACCAGTTTGGGAGCACGTGCAAATCGCCACATGCTGCCGGCCAGGGGTGAAGGTGTCAACCCCCGCATCCTGGAGGACAGCGTTACTCACCAAGTTCGTAGAGAACGAGGGGAGGTGGAGACCAGACAGCTCACCAGATGGGACCGCCGGACACGGAAGCACAGTGGAAGACCGTGCAAGCACTGGGCCCCCAGAGGGGTCAGCCAGTGAGACAGGAACAGGTGCAGGGAGGGGAGTGACTGTGGTACTGTCGCGAAAGAAACAGCGGGAAGCACCAGAGTCAAGTGTAAAGGTGTGCAAGGCCTGTGCAGGCGCAGGACCAGGGGGAGCAGACTCACAAGCACCTAGTGCTGCAGGGGCTGTACCAGGGGTTATACCAGGAGCCGGCGGCACACACAAGTAGCAGTCACCCTCAGCACTAACAGACAATGCATACATAGCAGCAAGAATTGCCTCATAGTCAAGATCAAAGATAGGGACATCACGCCTAAGCAGGTCTGCCCAGTTGGGGAACTCAGGAGCATCAGGAAACTTGGCACGCCAGGTGTCGCTAAGTCGAGCGAAGCAGCGCTGCTCAGTGCGAAAACCTGTGCACTGGCGACCAGTGCGGGGACCTGTGCGGATAATATAGGGGCAGCGACCAGGACCCCCAGAAACCCCACGCCCGGCATACCAGTCAAGAAGCTGCTGGGAAGTGGGGGTCTGGCGCTGCCGCTGATGCTGCCGCTGCTGCTGCTGCTGCTGCTGCTGCTGCTGCGGCTGCTGCTGGCCCTGACCACCACTGCCACCACCGCTCCCTCCTCCCCCACTGCCACTGCTGCCCCCTCCACCGCTCCCAGTGCCTCCGCCGCCCCCACCACCACCTCCACCGCCTCCACCCCCACGACCACCCCCACCACCTCCACCTCCCCCGCCGCCTGCACCACCGCCACCTCCACCGCCACCCCCACCGCCCCTGCCACCCCTGCCGCCCCTGCCGCTGCGACGCTTCCCACTAGGAGCGGAAGCAACTCCGACCCCCTCAGTACCAAGGTAGTCGTGAGCAGCAGCTGCGGAGGCATAGGAGGGGGTGAGAGGGGAGGGGGAGCACCCCTCAAAGAGGGGAGAGCGAGGAGTGCCACGAGCAGCACCTACAGCGAGGATGTTCTTCTCTGCTGCGAGGAGGTGCTTCTCGAAGTCGTCGACAGTGAGAGTGGTGGGGTCTAGCGCTAGGAAGTGGTCCCTGACAGAGCTAAGAGTGTCAGGGAGGCGGGTGACGAGGAAATAGAGAGTGAAGTACATCGGGGGGGGGTTTGCGGCGCAGAACTCGGCTGAAAGAGCGGCACGAAAGCGAGAGTCAGTAGCGCTTAGGTGAGAAACTAGGTCCTCAGCAGTGGTGAACGAGGAAAGATCGGGGAACAGGTATGGTAGCATGAGTCGACCTATGGCTGCAGTGGCCGGGAGGAGTAGCGCGCAACTACAGCGTCGTACAGTGTCTTAGCAGTTCTGTGCTGGCTGAAATGCGCTCGCTCAGTAATCGGCAGGTGGTTCCTAATAGCTAGGCGTGCAGCAGCATCACGAGTCTGCCACTGGGAGCGTTCTAGAGTAGGAGCATCAGCAGCAGGAGTAACGGCAGTGCCAGAGACGTAATCAAACAGGGAAACGCCCTCTTTGGCATCAGTCAGAAGGAACAGCTGGAGATCGTCTAACCACACAGCGAACTCGATGGGACGACCGTCAGGCTCAAATGCTAGAACGTTAGGCGTCGCCATAGTGGCTTAAGGCAGGAGGCAGCAGGCAGCAGGCAGCAGGCAGAGGCAGTAGGTAGCAGATAGCAGGCAGCAGGCAGCAGACAAGAGGCAGTAGAGACCAGGTAGGAGGCAGGAGGCAGAGGCAGCAAGCAGGCAGCAGGCAGGCGGCAGGCAGGCGGCAGCAGGCAGGCAGCAGGCAGGCGGCAGCAGGCAGCAAGCAGTAGGTAGGAGGCAGGAGGCAGAGGCAGGAGGCAGGGGCAGCAAGCAGGCAGCAGGCAGGCGGCAGGCAGGCGGCAGCAGGCAGGCAGCAGGCAGGCGGCAGCAGGCAGCAGGCAGGCAGCAGGCAGGCGGCAGGCAGGCGGCAGCAGGCAGCAAGCAGGCAGGCAGGCAGCAGGCAGGCGGCAGGCAGGCGGCAGCAGGCAGGCAGCAGGCAGGCGGCAGCAGGCAACAAGCAGCAGGTAGGATGCAGGAGGCAGAGGCAGGAGGCAGGGGCAGCAAGCAGGCAGCAGGCAGGCGGCAGACAGGCGGCAGCAGGCAGGCAGGAGGCAGGCGGCAGCAGGCAGCAGGCAGGCGGCAGGCAGGCGGCAGCAGCCAGCAAGCAGGCAGGCAGGCAGCAGCAGGCAGGCGGCAGCAGGCAGCAAGCAGCAGCAGGCAGCAAGCAGGCAGGCAGGCAGCAGGCAGGCAGAAGGCAGGCGGCAGCAGGCAGCAAGCAGCAGGCAGCAGGCAGGCGGCAGGCAGGTGGCAGCAGGCAGCAAGCAGGCAGGCAGGCAGCAGGCAGGCAGCAGCCTGAGGGCGGCTGCTGGCTGCGTGTGGCGGCTTGCTGCGCGAAGCTGCAGGCTGCGCGTGGCTACGGTCAGCGCGTGCGGCCGCAGGCTGCGTGCGGCGACGGGCTGCGCGGGCTGCGGGCTGCTAGCAGCTGCGGGCTGCGCGTGGCGACAGGCAGCGTGCGCGGCTGCAAGCTGCGTGCGGCTGCGGGCTGCGCTGGGCGACGGGCCGAACGTGCGCGGCTGCGGGCTGGTCGCTAAGCTGCGGGCTGCGCTGGGCGACGGGCCGCGCTGGCGTGGCCTAACCAGGTTGCGCGCGGGTGGCTTAAGGGGCGCACAGGCAGGGCCGAAACGGGCTGCGCGGGCTGCTAAAGCGGCGCACGTGGGAAAAAAAAAAAAAAGGACCGCCCGAGGCGCGCGCGGGCACTAGACAAGGCAGGCAGGTACGGTGGGCCCTAATCAGGCCCTCAGATTGGTTTTGGGCTAGTCTGAAAATTCAGAGTTGGTACATGACTTAACTCTGAAAATAAGAGTTTTTCCTGCAGAAATACCACTACACACTAGAAAAAATCGCAATTTTCCTGGTTTTTCTAAAAAAAAGGCTGAATTTTCAGAGTTCACTTCGAAAAAAGGCTGAAATATCAGAGTTTTTTAGGCAAATCAGAGAAATTTCTCTGACTTCTGGGGGCCTGGCCCTAATCCTAGGTCCTAAGGACCTATGCTCTAGATGCCATGTTAGAATCCTAGGCAAAAGTTGTATTGCAATGTCGAGAGGTTTTGGTACAAGAATGAAACCTAAGGGGTTGTACCCCACAGTGAGTACCCCACTAAAGCCTATCTAAACAACAACATATACACACATGTTTGACAGATATAAACGCATGCGCTTTTAATAGGCCTGCGCTTATATCCGGGACGATACGGTAGCTCATAATGTACCTAGTAAGAACGGTGCATATTATTTCAGACAAGAATGTAAAAACAGTTATTATAGCCTCCTGTGCCTGGCTAGCTGTGTTTTGCTAACAATTAGCCCTAGCCGAGTGGCCACTCACTCACACTTCTCGCATAATTTCCAAATTTCGGGCAGCATTCAGACATGACAAACAGGAACAGCAACAAAATGTTCCACCTGCAACCGACCTCTAAACAGCTAACACTTGCACCTATACCGTACACTACACATCATCTGCCACCTTGCCTGGGACTTCATATTACTCCACCTCCTCCACCTCCACACTACCCCACCCTTGCAGCTGCCACACCCGGTGCGGCTCTTCCTCACACCCAGTATCACTATCACATGCAGAGAATCACACCCGGCACTGCCTCACACCCGGCACTGTGCAGGTACCTTGCTGCTAGCATGCGATATCAGGCTGACCTGATCTGCCACCACCCCCACTGCATCGCTGTTCCTCCTCCACCTCCACACCGCCTCGCCCTTGTTGGCGCCCCCTCCCACTGACAGCACCCCAAACCCATATGCTGCCTGGCGGAACGCCGACCATGCAGGCTTGGGGGAGAGGAAACTGCGTGTTGAGGGGGAGGGGATAGGAGTGGAAAAGGAATGTGGACAAGGGAAAGAAAGTGAGATAATCTGAGGAAAGATGACAAGAAGGGGATGAGCTGATTTGAGGGACGCTTCATGAAAGGAGTGCAAGAGGAGAAGGCTGGAAGGGGGAACGAGGAAGACAATAAGAGAAGGGCAAGTGGTGGGGTTGTGCCAGTGAGAGCAGGGGAAGGAAACAGGTGACCAGGAAAGGCATTTTCGACCAGGAAAGGCATTTTCAACCAGGAACGGCCTTTTCGACCAGGAACGGCCATTTCGACCAGGAAGGGCCTTTTCAACCAGGAAAGGCCTTTTCGACCAGGAAAGGCCTTTTCGACCGGAAAGGCCTTTTCGACCAGGAACGGCCTTTTCAACCAGGAACGGCCTTTTTGACCAGGAGAGGCCTTTTCGACCAGGAAAGGCCTTTTCGACCAGGAAAGGCCTTTTCGACCAGGAAAGGCCTTTTCGAACAGGAAAGGCCTTTTCGACCAGGAAAGGCCTTTTCGACCAGGAACGGCCTTTTCGACCAGGAACGGCCTTTTCGACCAGGAACGGCCTTTTCGACCAGGAAAGGCCTTTTCGACGAGGAAAGGCCTTTTCGACCGAAAAGGCCTTTTCGACCAGGAAAGGCCTTTTCGACCAGGAAAGGCCTTTTCGAACAGGAAAGGCGTTTTCGACCAGGAACGGCCTTTTCGACTAGGAACGGCCTTTTCGACCAGGAACGGCCTTTTCGACCAGGAAAGGCCTTTTCGACCAGGAAAGGCCTTTTCGACCAGGAAAGGCCTTTTCGACCGAAAAGGCCTTTTCGACCAGGAAAGGCCTTTTCGACCGAAAAGGCCTTTTCGACCAGGAAAGGCCTTTTCGACCAGGAAAGGCCTTTTCGACCAGGAAAGGCCTTTTTGACCAGGAAAGGCCTTTTCGACCAGGAAAGGCCTTTTCAACCAGGAAATGCCTTTTCGACCAGGAAAGGCCTTTTCGACCAGGAACGGCCTTTTCGACCAGGAAAGGCCTTTTCGATCAGGAAAGGCCTTTTAACAAGGTGGTTGAGGAGGAGTGAAGGAGGATGCCAGAGGGATGAAGGGTGAATTAGGATGAAACGGAAATGAGAAGGCCGTGGGAATTTGTTAGGCGAGAAGCAAAATACAGTGCAATGCCTTATGCTAAGTGGTGACTTTTGGATCGACTAAAAAATAGAGTGGTGCCTTATGCCACATCAATCACTATTTTAGGGAAGGTTTCGAACGAGTCACTTTGCATGTATACATATTTATGTGCGTGTGTGCTATGTGTGCGTGTGTGCGCGTGTGTGTGTGCGCGTGGATATGTTTCTATAAATGCATGTGCACCTTAAAACGAGTTACCTTGTATAAAGGTCGGCCCCACCAGTGCCAACCGTGAGATGCACCATGCCACAGGGGTCTTGGGCGTTGTTGTAGAGAGGCAGCTGGGGAATGTCATTGTGGGAGGCAAAGTACACACCAATATTTAAACCAATCCAACAAATGTGCAAACAGCAGCAGTGAGATGCAGCACGAAACATGTTCAAGAGAGAGCTGGGAAGAGGATGTGAGCGGACAAGGGGAGGGGAGTGACAAGAGGGAGTAGAGGGTGGGGAAATGCAGACGATGTTGGCAGAGAAGACGGGGAGGCAAGAAGCTGAAAATACCGAGGGGGGACACTGAGTTCGGGTGGCATCCATCCCAGAGCGCCATGCACATGCACCCGAACACCCGAAGCATATCCACCTTTGGCTTCCTTCCTAGCCACTCCACATAGGGCACCCATTTGTCTGCTCCCACATGAGTCAAGGCTCTGTTCTTGGCCACACACGCGCTCCGCACCGCATCAGGCCAGAAATAATCGGGTAGCCCGGCTTCAATGAGCAACCCGCGTGCCGCCTCCGTGATTGTGCGGTTCGCTCGCTCGGCGATGCCGTTCATTGCAGGGGAGTATGGCATGGTGAGGGAGTGCCGAATACCATTCTTCTTCAGCCACAACCCAAACTCCTTGCTCAGGAACTCTCCCCCTCGACCGGTGCGGATTGACTTGACTAGACGGTCTTGTTGCCGCTCCACCATCGGGAACCAATCCGTCTTCAACGTTTCAGCCACGTCGCTCTTCTTGGCCAGCACGTACACCCAAGTCATGCGGGTGTAGACGTCGACAATGGTGAGAAAATACTCAGCTCCAGCAGCTCCAAGCTTCAGGGGGCCCACCACGTCCATCACCACCTCATCAAGCGGTGCCTTTGCCGTTGCCTCCGAACTAGGGAACGGAAACCGGGTGAACTTGGCTTGAATGCACGTCGGGCAGCCAAGCACCTCATCGGGCTCCCCCTTCACACGTATGCCAGCAACCATCTCATTCTTCACTAGCTGCTGCAAGATGGGCAGGGCCACATGCCCCATGCGCCGATGCAAGGTGAGCCAATCACACTCCCCCGTAGCCGAAGCTGGATTGGAGAATGCCGCGCTCGCAATAGCGCCCCACATACTCTCTCCGTAGTCCTCCTCCGCTGCTGCCTCTGGGTTCTCCTCACCCTTTTGCTGCTCCTTGGTTGCTGCACCACTCTCCTTAGGTTCACTGAACTTGCTGGTCCCTCCAGGTTTGCTCTTCTTGAGCTCATTCTCCTTAGCGCGACCGTTCGCGCCATCGTCGCTACCGACCGCTCCATCCTTGGTGCTGATGCTTGCTGCCACTTGCCTCTCCTTAGGCATAGGGACCACTGGGATCTGCCACATCTCGTTGTAGACATCCCTGTCCTCATGAAGGTCCCAAAGAATTCGATCGCCAAGCCTTGCGGTGTAGGTCTTGGCTCCCTTCGAGTTCGTGTCCATGCCGGCCTTTGCCAACCGCCGCACGGAAATCAGGTTTGCAGCAAGGCTGGGCACCCAAAGCACGTTCTTGAGGCCCACCATCTTCCCATCAGCACCCTTGAACATGGCCTTGCCCATGCCTTTCACCTCTGCTCGCTGCCCCAAAGCCGATGTGACATGCTTCACCGGTGACGGCTCGAGTTCGGTGAGCAAGTCCGGGCGAGGTGTCATGCTATAGGTAGCGCCACTATCAATCACCCAATAGTCCAGGGGGTGTAGGGTCACCTTCCCCACAGCTGCTGGCTCCTCAAAGCCTTCATCCTTCTCTGGACCAGCCGGTACTTGCGTCGACACGAAGTAGAATAGACCCGGGTATCGATCGTCGCTCGGGTCCTTGTCGTTGTCTCCGCTCTTCATGTTTGCAGCTCCGCCACCGCGACCGCCACGGCCTCCACGGCCTCGTCCTCTCCCTCCTCCTGCTCCTCTACCCTCTTGGCCTTGAGCAGGGGTCCAACCATCAGGGAGTTTGTAGCAGTCGCGCCACATGTGTCCGCTCTTGTGGCAATAGTGACACTCGCCGTCGAATCGGCCGCGACCGCGTCCGTAGCTCTTGTCGTCGCTGCCGTAACCGCCACTCCTGCGGCCTCCGCCGAAGTTGCTGCCACCAAACCTTCCTCCCCCTCGTCCTCTGCCTCTTCCTCGACCATATCCACGGCCGATGCTCGCTGCCCCAGCGCCATCCGCACTCGCCAACTCACGGCGGCGGAAATCCTCTTGAAGGATAGCTCGCTTCACGTCTTCAAGCGAGAGGCGGGGCAAGTCGCGATTAAGGTTGATGATGAGCGAGGACCATGACTCTGGGAGTAAGGCCAGCAACTTGGTCTTCTTTTGGAGCTCACTGTAGTTCAAATCAGCTCCCTCAAGCCGCGTCAACAAGTCGAAGAATTTCTGCACCCCTTCTTCAACCGCTTCGTCTTCTTCAATTCGTAGTGCCGCCATTTGTCGTTCCAACACCACCGCTACCGCCGCTGTTGCAGGAGCATGTACACCCTTGAGAGCAGCCCATGCCTTTGGTCCTTTCTCTGGTTCACGCTGGAATGGCTTGATGTGACGGATCTGACTGCTCCCCAACGCTTGCCCAAGTAAGAGATAGCCTTGTGCGCTTTTCCGCACCCACGGGCTCTTCTCCGGGTCGTTCTCGGGGCGCTTCTCCGTTCCTTCCATCACCTCCAGCAGGTCATAGTGGTCAAAGATGTTCTCCATCTTGAAGGACCATTCAGCAAAGTTGTCACCGTTGAACTTGTCAAGCCCAAACACCCTAGGCTCATCCCTAGGTGGGCCAAGACTTGGTTGCATGGGCGCCATGGCTGAATCACGGGGTTGGCCTTGAGCTTGAGCTTCTCCACTGCCACCAGCACCTCTGCCACCCCTTTCCTCAGGTCCAGACATTGTCGAAACTGCTCCAAGGGGCTCTGATACCACTTGTTATAGTCACAATAGGCTTGAATGTGCCTAAAACGAAAGATAGAGAGCACAGACGGATTTCTGCACAGCGTCTTCAAACGTTGATAGCGTTCTGCTCACAGCTGCAAATGACTTGATTCAAATTGGATCTGGAGCGTCTTCACGTCGTCTACAATTAGCAATTTAGATTGCACGATTTGATAAAGAATTGACGACACAGCGTCGGTTTGAACGAACGGTACTATGGCAGCCACTATAGTCTTAGAACACAAGATAGGAAGAGTTACGAGTTGGGAATGACTCCCAGCTCCTACAAACCCCAAGAGCCGAGGTACAGTGATGTGGAACAGTGCCACACTGTCCCCAACCACGAAGGGTCTCGAAACTACCCTTCACTAGGGCCTACACCAAGTGAAATGTTACACTACACAAAGTAATGTAACTATCTTCAATATCTTGAGGTGTACCCTTTTTGGCGAGCTTCGAAATCACTTGAGGCTTGACACCAAGGCTCGGGCTCTTCATCACAAACTCATCCTTGAGTTCTTGATGGGTCTGCTGCACACACCTGCGACACGCCGAACGTTCGACACAGGACAAAATAGAAACCGCGCACGACAAAATAGAAACCGCGCGCGAGACACAAACGACCGCGTAACACGCGTCTAGCGATAACTCGCTATTGACTCGACACACACACTCGAAATCATGACTCAACATTCACACACAATTATAAGCATGAAATATATATTATCCCATGCCCTCATACCATTCCATACACACACACATTCACGCACACGGACAACAAGCCGAGTGCAAACCGTAGGGTTGCACCAACACGACATAGCGTGCTAGAATGCTAAGAGGGTAGGCAATGTCAGGTCGAGTGCAGGTCATCAGGTATATGAGGCAGCTCATAAGCTTTGGATACGGGCCACTCGGCTCTACAGACTCGT